GTCTAAGATGGCACAACTAGAAGACTACTGTCAAATGGAGCGTGGTCAATATCATTAAAGCACTACATTTCCCCACATTGGAAACGGCAAAGAAAAAGTTGAAATTTATAAAAGCAAATTATTTCAATGTTGCATTAATGCCAGAGATATAGAAGGATTACCTTCGGTGTGGAAATTTAACATAAAAATGAAATTTGCAATGTATTTACTCATTGTTCGCATACAATACATATCGTTTATATATTTATTTATGTTACATTAATTCATGTTAGTACAGTAGCCTCTCGTTATATCGCGCTTGTTGGGAGAAAAAGTAAAATCGCGTTTTATCCGGCGCGCGACGGCGTGGTATAACCGAATACTAAATATTTTGGGCTTTCACTAAACAGATTAAACATGCTATGGATTCTCTATCCTGCATTCTTTCATCAGCAAGTGTTTATGATATAAAATAAGCTTAGTTTTGCAATACTAAATTTTATTCGTGGTTATATTGTATTAAATGACGTTTACGTAAACATCGATACCACAAACATCCATTTAGCATTATTGTTTTTTTAACAATGATATTTAAAGACAGATACTGTCGATTTAAAAACAAAATATCAGTTGCGATGTTGTTATACAATACTATATTTCATAATAAATTGCGTATTAAAAATTCGTGTAATTTATATTTTACAATAAAAGATTATAAATCCAGTAATTGAAAATTAAAAAAGTAAATATTGAACATGTAAACAAATTGAATGTAAGAACATTAAAACGTATAAAATAAAAGAGTAAAAATTCTCAAAAAGCAAATTAAAGTTACTACTGTATAAAAATTTTAGAACTTTCCGTTCAGAAATAAAAATCTTTTCCGTACACATTACGCAGTGAATTCGAAATTTTACACATTTATATGAATTGACAGTTTTGCGTTAATTTAATTCACACAAAAGTTGTGAAATTTCGAATTCATGGTAACTTGTAAATAGACAGGACTTAAAACCAATAAATAAACACTTTTAATATCAAAAAGAAACGAAAAAGAAAAGGATAAATGATAATTGATCTGTCCTGCTGTTTTAGTTATTTAGATGTTGACAAATTTATTGTTTCACTGCAGTGGTAGTTTCAAGGACAATGGTAAGAATAAAATACCATACTTCGTTGCAAAAAAAAAATGGTAATTGTTAATTTAAAATGTATTGACTGAAGTGTTTTTAAAATTTCAATTTGGGGGCAAAAACAAAGCACGATATATTCGAATCCGTGATATAACGAGGGGCTACTGTATTATTTATTTATTTAGTTATTTTGGTTGCTATTTTGATATTTTTTTATTTATTTCATTTTACATTTTGTACTCTTTACTTTAAATTACTTACGTTCGAACGGTATATTATGAAACGTTCATTTAAAAAAGCTCGAATACGATAACACTTGATGATGATCTATAAAAATTAGCTTGAAACGTTTGTGAAGTTTTCAATATATTCCTCAGCAAGCGTAAGGTGCTCAAAAACTTTGTCAACTGTTTCTCATTTGCCAAGTCTGATTGTGATTGTTAATTAATACTAAAACGTTTTATTTCTCCAAAATAAAGATACTTGGCTGAACAGAAAAAATATTTTCGATCTCTGTTGAAGTATATAATAAATAAGAAAAATACCTGTTTATTTAATTAAAATATAAAGTGATATTTCCTAAATTTATAATAACCAATTTCTCGCAATTTTTATTCAATTTTGTTTTTAATTTAAAAATACATAAACTGCTAAGGTAAAGTGTAATAGCGAACGAGAATAAGTTCATTTTGAGTCAATTACATCATATCAAAGATTATTCACTTAAGATTATTTCTTACTTTTATAATACGTTTTCGTTAAGTGATAAGTTTAACTTAATAACTATTGAAGTAGTCAACTTTTCTACTTGTTATAAATAATATTATTTAAAATTGTTTTTATATCTGAATAGATTGTGGGATATTTTAATTATTTTCTGTAATTATAATACTAAATAAAATTGCATAAAATAACTTTAAATTAAACAATGGATAGGCTTATTTAATATTTCAATATGATCAGAATATCGTACATTATCTTTTCTTCGAATTGTTCATTGACATTATTTTGAAATAACGAGAAATTTATCTAAAATGATTATGAAACAATCTAACAAATCATTCTGCCATTTTTATAAATTGGTTTTATGTAAAATATTTTATAAATTTTCAAAAATTCTCATTTTTTAGACAATTTCTTAAAATTCCTGGGATTCCATTATAACTTATTGTATTCGTTTTCACTTTGTTTATTTGTTTAGGCCGAGAGAAATTATCATCAATCATAACGCCCAAATATTTCATGTCGTTTGTAGAGTCGATGACATCCTCATTGATCTCATGGGAAATTTCTTTATTTACTTTAGTATTTTTGTTATAACATATAATATATCCTGATTATAGATAAGGTATTTTTAGATTTTTATTGCAAAGTGCTCAATAATATGATATTTACATTTTTGTGTATTGATTATTTATGTAAACGATTTTAAGTTTATCGTTTCTATTTCTTCGACCAACCATTCTTAATACAGCAGTAATATTAAAGTTTTTCGTTTAATGCATCATTGAAGACGAATCTTTTGAACACATAATGGAGTTTACAAAATTTTGTTCCTTTTGCCTATTAAGATTATTTCATTTATGTACAATTCACTCTAAATAATGACAGAGCATATAAAGTAAGTGGTCATATCACATTTTCAAGTTTCATTGAGATAAAACTTGTTTACATAGATATATTTTGAAAAATAATTCATTAAATTCGTTTTATAAATATAGAAAAAAATAGTGGAATTAGCATTTATTAATAATAAATTTTATAATAAATCTGAAGTTTTGTAAATCATAAAAATATACACTTATTAAAATAATTTAAAGACTCAGTCTTAATTGATCACGTAAATCTAAATTTTAAAAATCTTATGATTGCACATTATAAGAGCATAACTTTCATTTTTATAATAAATTGTTATTATATTAATTATTATAATTTATAATAAAATCTTCTGAAGCAATCTGAGAGACAAAATAGACCATATATATTCATTCCGCATCTACAATACGAAATGTAATAAAAATAATTTCATCGTCTAAAATCAATTAATTGAGAATAAACATAATTATGTTGCTTGCCGAGTTTGAGTTTGATGTTACAAATCCTTCTCTAAAGGTATTTAAAACTTTTCTCGGTGTGGCATTATGCTAAATCCCACTCACAACATTTACAAATCCCTTTGCGACAATAATAGAGACAACTTCCATAATCCGATAATATTTAACACAATAATAATATTTATATCAAGAATAAAATTTATATCAACATAATTCTGCAGAGGAATTAGAAAGTTTCACTATAAAAGACAAAACTTGAGTATAATCCATGATTTAAATAACCGTGTTTTATATTTAAATATCTAAAAATTTACATTTTTATGTACTATTTATGTCAATTATTCCACAAGATGTTTAGAAAATATCTCAATATCTAATATTATCTAGATATAAATTTATTTAATTTTTTTTCTATATAATGTTATTTGCTATTTATGAAATGTTTTAACTCTTCTTCTTGGAATTCTTTATATTATAAAAAGCTTCTATCCAATATATTTTTGAAAGTTTTAAAACATGATAAAGAAGATAAAAACATATAAAATTATTTATATGTTACTTATTTTAATTCTTTTTAATGAAATTTGTAACTCTTCTTTATTAATAAACTTACAGTTGTATTAATGTCATTTGTAAACTGTCATTTCTTTCAAGTAAAAAAATCATATATTTTTTATTAATATACATTTAAATGCTAATAAATTAAACTTTATTAACTATTTGGTGTCCATTTGTAAAAAATCTTGCAGAAAGTAAGCATATAAAATTAAGGAAATCAACACGAAATTGATACAACGTTAAAAATAAGCATGAATATCATTTAATAATTTTAAAAAACAAAGCTAAATTACAATTGTGAACAAAGAAAATTATGAAAATTGAGTTTTTAAAAATGCAATTTTATGTCTACTGTATTTTTTTCTTAAAAAATAAAGAAATAAGACTGCAGTCATATGAGAAAAAATTTAAATTAGTTTATTTAAATTTCATATTTAAATAAAGACTATATTTATTATTATATATTTAAATAATGCATTTGTAATGTTTGAAAATTTAAAATTTTTGTTTTTATTAATATTAAATATATATTTTTTGCTATTGTACTTATTGATGGCTTGAAATAAATTAAAAACTGTGGTCTTAATTTCATGTTTCTGATTATAAATAAATGTAATTATTTTTCAAAAAATTAAGCCTTTTAAAAATTGTTTTAGTATATAAAGTAGAAATATTCATAGATTGTCCTTAAAATAATTTAAAACGTTATAACTTTATTCATTTACAAAAGAGGTTTATGATTATTAAAATTGTATTTTATAACAATTAATTAAATGATGTAAAAAAAATTTGGTAAAATTACATAATAAACAAAATTAGATAATTATGAGGTAAATTTTTACAAACTTCGCGATATTTCTTTTCTTTAAAAATTTTCCATTGTCTTCAAATTATCATTAACTCACGAATATCCTGATGACAATATTTACTAAATTAATTTCCTTGAACCATCGTAATTTGTTTGATGTTGTATTCATATAATTAATGTCATAGCCTCAAATAATGTAACTAAACTTTTCTGAAAAGTAATTTTATCCTATATTTCATCAAATAAACTTTTTAAAACCAACTTAGTAATTACAAAAGTTGATCAGAAATTAGAATATTAATCGAATAAACTTTAAGGCATCTACATCTAAAAAATTAGGGGAGAACAGAGATATTCTGAGTTAAAATTAATTAAAATTCTGCACTTTTTTTCCTCTAAAGGTTTTATATTAAAAAATTGTAATATTTTAGCTTTAGAATTATTTATTTATTTATTTCATTGTTTCATTCTGAATTTATTTCTGTTTTTAAATTGGATAAAACATCTTTTCTATGGTATTGCAAATTTTAAAAAGCAACTGTTCTCACGAGTATAATTTTTAATGATTCCCTGTTGATTTATTGGATAACTGCTGAAAATAACCAATTATTTTTCTTTGGTAAGATGATAATGATAATAAAATTATCACACGATAATTTCGTATTTCTAATTATATCGTTTTATATAAATATGTAATAAATAACAAATTATTACTTAAAAAATCTAGAATTTTATATTATAAACGTATACTGCATATACCTGTCTATAATATAATTTGTTTGAAAAATTCATATTTGTTTACGTCCATCAAAAAATCACTTCCAAATTGTCAATATTTATCAAAATGTTTATTTTTTGGAATGCTCAATAAAATTTTCTTTTCAAATCAATCTCCCTTCCTTCCCGAAAGTGATTATTGTATTTCTTATATTCTTTTTTACAGCATTCAATTTTCGACACATTGATATCTGAGGTTTAAAATAACCTCCTTTGGATTTAAAAGATACGTTAAATATTATTAAAATTCTTTTTTAATTGACACAGTGACATTGATACGCCATTATTAATCAATTTCTATAGCTTTGACGTATTTCGTTTGGAAAATCGTAATTTGTTGATACAGATGTTGCATCGGAATCACTCCACACTATATGTTTATCCATATACTTCCATCTTATAGGTCGAGTTGTTCCCTGATTTGTTATCAGTTGTCTTATTTCTTGCACCATTTCATATGGTAAAAATTTCTGAAAATATTTAAAACTGCCGTTAAAAATATCATTTTTATAAATAAAATTAAGTATATCGCTTTTATTTTTTAAAGTTTTCCTTTGACTAATTAAGATACATTTGTAAGTAATTATGGATATTTTAATACTAGAAACATTGAATTAGAAAGTTAATGAGGAAGATTGTATTTTATTTGTTACTTATTAATTATCCTCACCTATCTCACCTGTTTTCCTCAATGAGGCACGTTCTTGCGTGCAAGAAATAGAAACACAATATCAACCTATCATTTCACTTTTATCACTAACTTCACTCACTAATTGTTTACTTTTTCTTATACTTACTCTTTCTTCACGCGGTTTTTTTCTAGTGTGAGCAATAAATTCTATAACAACGATGACACACGCCATTCCTAATCCTGCTAATAACACCACAAATACACCTCCGACATTGGCGAGTCCTAGCTCATTAGTTAGAATACTAGTCTTTTTTTCATCGGCAACACATAGATCACCTCCTTTTTTCTTCCACCATTTCTCTTTTAATTCGTGTAATACACCAGTTTCTTGCAACCTTAAAATTCCGCTGGAAATTAATGACCTGTATGGGGAACCTAACGACAAATTAAAATTCAAGATGAAATTCATTGAAGTTAGTTTGAATTTATTACTTAAATTATAGATTAAAACGTTATGCTAATTATATGGAAATGTTATTACTCTTAAAGCTGATAGAAAATAAACAGATTTATATTATTAATTAAAGTATTGTGATATTTAAAAAAGTGTACCTGCAGGCAATGCAATTCCGTAACCTTTAGAATCCAACAATCCGCCAATTCGAGTCAATTCACAATTTCTTTCTACTAAATATTCAATGGTAACAGATTCCATTAAAAAGGCGTAATCACCTTCTAAAACTCTTTCCATTCCTTTTTCTGATGAAGATGTATACACGCTAGGATTTGCTTCCATAAACGTATACATTTTTTTATACGCAGAAACTTTGGACTCCTAATTATTATAATTAAATATTTTACACGTTATAATTACCGGAATTCGATATTTAACAGAAGATATAAGATGATAAGCTTACTTTAAAAAAGGAACGTGTAGATCCAGATTCTACACAGCCATACTTAATTTTTCCCTGATTTGCTAAATCTTCTGCACTTTCAATAGGAGATTTCATACGTTCTGCAGTTAAAAATGCTGCCAAATTAGCAGTATAAGACGATATCATGATTAATGTAAAAAACCACCAGATACCAGCAATTACACGAGTAGAAAGTGCCCTACGAAATAAAAAATATCCTTAGATCTTGGTTGCTTGCTGTTCTCTTTACTATATGTATTTTCTTAGCATAAGATTGTCTTTGGCCTATGGAGCTAAAAGAATTTTAGCTCCATTTTCCTCTTTTTTTTCACCTATGTCTTCTCACGAGTCGTGTTGTCCTAACTGTCACTATAATCTCAGGTAATTATGTTTTATTGTACAAACCTTTGTACGCGTATCCTATATATTTCAATACAATCGGTAAATCTGTAACTCTGTAATAATTTTGCTGGTAAATCTGTTATAATAGAACTGAAGAGGGGCATTAAGCCCGAAATGCATATCTTTTCCTATCAATAAACCGACCTTTATCAACTAAAAGTGTTCCAGTGTGATTTGTTCTCAATGGCAACCTTATGCTAAGAAAAGACATAAAAATATCCTCTTTTAAAATGTTTAATTTTATACAAGATATAATTTTAAATTAAATGTTCNAGCAAGTGTTTATGATATAAAATAAGCTTAGTTTTGCAATACTAAATTTTATTCGTGGTTATATTGTATTAAATGACGTTTACGTAAACATCGATACCACAAACATCCATTTAGCATTATTGTTTTTTTAACAATGATATTTAAAGACAGATACTGTCGATTTAAAAACAAAATATCAGTTGCGATGTTGTTATACAATACTATATTTCATAATAAATTGCGTATTAAAAATTCGTGTAATTTATATTTTACAATAAAAGATTATAAATCCAGTAATTGAAAATTAAAAAAGTAAATATTGAACATGTAAACAAATTGAATGTAAGAACATTAAAACGTATAAAATAAAAGAGTAAAAATTCTCAAAAAGCAAATTAAAGTTACTACTGTATAAAAATTTTAGAACTTTCCGTTCAGAAATAAAAATCTTTTCCGTACACGCAGTGAATTCGAAATTTTACACATTTATGTGAATTGACAGTTTTGCGTTAATTTAATTCACACAAAAGTTGTGAAATTTCGAATTCATGGTAACTTGTAAATAGACAGGACTTAAAACCAATAAATAAACACTTTTAATATCAAAAAGAAACGAAAAAGAAAAGAATAAATGATAATTGATCTGTCCTGCTGTTTTAGTTATTTAGATGTTGACAAATTTATTGTTTCACTGCAGTGGTAGTTTCAAGGACAATGGTAAGAATAAAATACCATACTTCGTTGCAAAAAAAAAAAATGGTAATTGTTAATTTAAAATGTATTGACTGAAGTGTTTTTAAAATTTCAATTTGGGGGCAAAAACAAAGCACGATATATTCGAATCCGTGATATAACGAGGGGCTACTGTATTATTTATTTATTTAGTTATTTTGGTTGCTATTTTGATATTTTTTTATTTATTTCATTTTACATTTTGTACTCTTTACTTTAAATTACTTACGTTCGAACGGTATATTATGAAACGTTCATTTAAAAAAGCTCGAATACGATAACACTTGATGATGATCTATAAAAATTAGCTTGAAACGTTTGTGAAGTTTTCAATATATTCCTCAGCAAGCGTAAGGTGCTCAAAAACTTTGTCAACTGTTTCTCATTTGCCAAGTCTGATTGTGATTGTTAATTAATACTAAAACGTTTTATTTCTCCAAAATAAAGATACTTGGCTGAACAGAAAAAATATTTTCGATCTCTGTTGAAGTATATAATAAATAAGAAAAATACCTGTTTATTTAATTAAAATATAAAGTGATATTTCCTAAATTTATAATAACCTATTCATTNGATTATTCACTTAAGATTATTTCTTACTTTTATAATACGTTTTCGTTAAGTGATAAGTTTAACTTAATAACTATTGAAGTAGTCAACTTTTCTACTTGTTATAAATAATATTATTTAAAATTGTTTTTATATCTGAATAGATTGTGGGATATTTTAATTATTTTCTGTAATTATAATACTAAATAAAATTGCATAAAATAACTTTAAATTAAACAATGGATAGGCTTATTTAATATTTCAATATGATCAGAATATCGTACATTATCTTTTCTTCGAATTGTTCATTGACATTATTTTGAAATAACGAGAAATTTATCTAAAATGATTATGAAACAATCTAACAAATCATTCTGCCATTTTTATAAATTGGTTTTATGTAAAATATTTTATAAATTTTCAAAAATTCTCATTTTTTAGACAATTTCTTAAAATTCCTGGGATTCCATTATAACTTATTGTATTCGTTTTCACTTTGTTTATTTGTTTAGGCCGAGAGAAATTATCATCAATCATAACGCCCAAATATTTCATGTCGTTTGTAGAGTCGATGACATCCTCATTGATCTCATGGGAAATTTCTTTATTTACTTTAGTATTTTTGTTATAACATATAATATATCCTGATTATAGATAAGGTATTTTTAGATTTTTATTGCAAAGTGCTCAATAATATGATATTTACATTTTTGTGTATTGATTATTTATGTAAACGATTTTAAGTTTATCGTTTCTATTTCTTCGACCAACCATTCTTAATACAGCAGTAATATTAAAGTTTTTCGTTTAATGCATCATTGAAGACGAATCTTTTGAACACATAATGGAGTTTACAAAATTTTGTTCCTTTTGCCTATTAAGATTATTTCATTTATGTACAATTCACTCTAAATAATGACAGAGCATATAAAGTAAGTGGTCATATCACATTTTCAAGTTTCATTGAGATAAAACTTGTTTACATAGATATATTTTGAAAAATAATTCATTAAATTCGTTTTATAAATATAGAAAAAAATAGTGGAATTAGCATTTATTAATAATAAATTTTATAATAAATCTGAAGTTTTGTAAATCATAAAAATATACACTTATTAAAATAATTTAAAGACTCAGTCTTAATTGATCACGTAAATCTAAATTTTAAAAATCTTATGATTGCACATTATAAGAGCATAACTTTCATTTTTATAATAAATTGTTATTATATTAATTATTATAATTTATAATAAAATCTTCTGAAGCAATCTGAGAGACAAAATAGACCATATATATTCATTCCGCATCTACAATACGAAATGTAATAAAAATAATTTCATCGTCTAAAATCAATTAATTGAGAATAAACATAATTATGTTGCTTGCCGAGTTTGAGTTTGATGTTACAAATCCTTCTCTAAAGGTATTTAAAACTTTTCTCGGTGTGGCATTATGCTAAATCCCACTCACAACATTTACAAATCCCTTTGCGACAATAATAGAGACAACTTCCATAATCCGATAATATTTAACACAATAATAATATTTATATCAAGAATAAAATTTATATCAACATAATTCTGCAGAGGAATTAGAAAGTTTCACTATAAAAGACAAAACTTGAGTATAATCCATGATTTAAATAACCGTGTTTTATATTTAAATATCTAAAAATTTACATTTTTATGTACTATTTATGTCAATTATTCCACAAGATGTTTAGAAAATATCTCAATATCTAATATTATCTAGATATAAATTTATTTAATTTTTTTTCTATATAATGTTATTTGCTATTTATGAAATGTTTTAACTCTTCTTCTTGGAATTCTTTATATTATAAAAAGCTTCTATCCAATATATTTTTGAAAGTTTTAAAACATGATAAAGAAGATAAAAACATATAAAATTATTTATATGTTACTTATTTTAATTCTTTTTAATGAAATTTGTAACTCTTCTTTATTAATAAACTTACAGTTGTATTAATGTCATTTGTAAACTGTCATTTCTTTCAAGTAAAAAAATCATATATTTTTTATTAATATACATTTAAATGCTAATAAATTAAACTTTATTAACTATTTGGTGTCCATTTGTAAAAAATCTTGCAGAAAGTAAGCATATAAAATTAAGGAAATCAACACGAAATTGATACAACGTTAAAAATAAGCATGAATATCATTTAATAATTTTAAAAAACAAAGCTAAATTACAATTGTGAACAAAGAAAATTATGAAAATTGAGTTTTTAAAAATGCAATTTTATGTCTACTGTATTTTTTTCTTAAAAAATAAAGAAATAAGACTGCAGTCATATGAGAAAAAATTTAAATTAGTTTATTTAAATTTCATATTTAAATAAAGACTATATTTATTATTATATATTTAAATAATGCATTTGTAATGTTTGAAAATTTAAAATTTTTGTTTTTATTAATATTAAATATATATTTTTTGCTATTGTACTTATTGATGGCTTGAAATAAATTAAAAACTGTGGTCTTAATTTCATGTTTCTGATTATAAATAAATGTAATTATTTTTCAAAAAATTAAGCCTTTTAAAAATTGTTTTAGTATATAAAGTAGAAATATTCATAGATTGTCCTTAAAATAATTCAAAACGTTATAACTTTATTCATTTACAAAAGAGGTTTATGATTATTAAAATTGTATTTTATAACAATTAATTAAATGATGTAAAAAAAATTTGGTAAAATTACATAATAAACAAAATTAGATAATTATGAGGTAAATTTTTACAAACTTCGCGATATTTCTTTTCTTTAAAAATTTTCCATTGTCTTCAAATTATCATTAACTCACGAATATCCTGATGACAATATTTACTAAATTAATTTCCTTGAACCATCGTAATTTGTTTGATGTTGTATTCATATAATTAATGTCATAGCCTCAAATAATGTAACTAAACTTTTCTGAAAAGTAATTTTATCCTATATTTCATCAAATAAACTTTTTAAAACCAACTTAGTAATTACAAAAGTTGATCAGAAATTAGAATATTAATCGAATAAACTTTAAGGCATCTACATCTAAAAAATTAGGGGAGAACAGAGATATTCTGAGTTAAAATTAATTAAAATTCTGCACTTTTTTTCCTCTAAAGGTTTTATATTAAAAAAATCTTAACTTTGAATTAATTATAAGATTAATTTAAAAATTTTTAACGCAAACACATAAAGTAAGAACTGTTTCTCTTAACGTATTTTAATTCTAAAAACCCTGAAAATTATTTTTCAAACATTTTATTATTTCAATATTTAATATTTTCAAATTAATTTTTTAACTTAAAATATTCGAATTTATAGGCCTACATTAAAGTGTCAATTTTAAATATTAACATTTTAAAAATTAAGAGTTAAAATTATATATATACATGTGTGTGAATTCAATAAAATTAATGAGTGTGATTATTATAATATAATACATAATTTTTAATAAATTTATATTAAGTTTATTCGATTCTAAAATGGATTCAATTAATTGAAATTAATTTGAATTATTTATTTAATAAATGATAATAAAACTTCATTTTACAAATTTTACACATTGAGCTTATTGTAAAACAATTTATACATACAACTCGAAACACATTGTTTATTTACATGGTTTTTTCCCTTCTTATTTTTATAACACTTTATTTTTTAGAATTATTTATTTATTTATTTCATTGTTTCATTCTGAATTTATTTCTGTTTTTAAATTGGATAAAACATCTTTTCTATGGTATTGCAAATTTTAAAAAGCAACTGTTCTCACGAGTATAATTTTTAATGATTCCCTGTTGATTTATTGGATAACTGCTGAAAATAACCAATTATTTTTCTTTGGTAAGATGATAATGATAATAAAATTATCACACGATAATTTCGTATTTCTAATTATATCGTTTTATATAAATATGTAATAAATAACAAATTATTACTTAAAAAATCTAGAATTTTATATTATAAACGTATACTGCATATACCTGTCTATAATATAATTTGTTTGAAAAATTCATATTTGTTTACGTCCATCAAAAAATCACTTCCAAATTGTCAATATTTATCAAAATGTTTATTTTTTGGAATGCTCAATAAAATTTTCTTTTCAAATCAATCTCCCTTCCTTCCCGAAAGTGATTATTGTATTTCTTATATTCTTTTTTACAGCATTCAATTTTCGACACATTGATATCTGAGGTTTAAAATAACCTCCTTTGGATTTAAAAGATACGTTAAATATTATTAAAATTCTTTTTTAATTGACACAGTGACATTGATACGCCATTATTAATCAATTTCTATAGCTTTGACGTATTTCGTTTGGAAAATCGTAATTTGTTGATACAGATGTTGCATCGGAATCACTCCACACTATATGTTTATCCATATACTTCCATCTTATAGGTCGAGTTGTTCCCTGATTTGTTATCAGTTGTCTTATTTCTTGCACCATTTCATATGGTAAAAATTTCTGAAAATATTTAAAACTGCCGTTAAAAATATCATTTTTATAAATAAAATTAAGTATATCGCTTTTATTTTTTAAAGTTTTCCTTTGACTAATTAAGATACATTTGTAAGTAATTATGGATATTTTAATACTAGAAACATTGAATTAGAAAGTTAATGAGGAAGATTGTATTTTATTTGTTACTTATTAATTATCCTCACCTATCTCACCTGTTTTCCTCAATGAGGCACGTTCTTGCGTGCAAGAAATAGAAACACAATATCAACCTATCATTTCACTTTTATCACTAACTTCACTCACTAATTGTTTACTTTTTCTTATACTTACTCTTTCTTCACGCGGTTTTTTTCTAGTGTGAGCAATAAATTCTATAACAACGATGACACACGCCATTCCTAATCCTGCTAATAACACCACAAATACACCTCCGACATTGGCGAGTCCTAGCTCATTAGTTAGAATACTAGTCTTTTTTTCATCGGCAACACATAGATCACCTCCTTTTTTCTTCCACCATTTCTCTTTTAATTCGTGTAATACACCAGTTTCTTGCAACCTTAAAATTCCGCTGGAAATTAATGACCTGTATGGGGAACCTAACGACAAATTAAAATTCAAGATGAAATTCATTGAAGTTAGTTTGAATTTATTACTTAAATTATAGATTAAAACGTTATGCTAATTATATGGAAATGTTATTACTCTTAAAGCTGATAGAAAATAAACAGATTTATATTATTAATTAAAGTATTGTGATATTTAAAAAAGTGTACCTGCAGGCAATGCAATTCCGTAACCTTTAGAATCCAACAATCCGCCAATTCGAGTCAATTCACAATTTCTTTCTACTAAATATTCAATGGTAACAGATTCCATTAAAAAGGCGTAATCACCTTCTAAAACTCTTTCCATTCCTTTTTCTGATGAAGATGTATACACGCTAGGATTTGCTTCCATAAACGTATACATTTTTTTATACGCAGAAACTTTGGACTCCTAATTATTATAATTAAATATTTTACACGTTATAATTACCGGAATTCGATATTTAACAGAAGATATAAGATGATAAGCTTACTTTAAAAAAGGAACGTGTAGATCCAGATTCTACACAGCCATACTTAATTTTTCCCTGATTTGCTAAATCTTCTGCACTTTCAATAGGAGATTTCATACGTTCTGCAGTTAAAAATGCTGCCAAATTAGCAGTATAAGACGATATCATGATTAATGTAAAAAACCACCAGATACCAGCAATTACACGAGTAGAAAGTGCCCTACGAAATAAAAAATATCCTTAGATCTTGGTTGCTTGCTGTTCTCTTTACTATATGTATTTTCTTAGCATAAGATTGTCTTTGGCCTATGGAGCTAAAAGAATTTTAGCTCCATTTTCCTCTTTTTTTTCACCTATGTCTTCTCACGAGTCGTGTTGTCCTAACTGTCACTATAATCTCAGGTAATTATGTTTTATTGTACAAACCTTTGTACGCGTATCCTATATATTTCAATACAATCGGTAAATCTGTAACTCTGTAATAATTTTGCTGGTAAATCTGTTATAATAGAACTGAAGAGGGGCATTAAGCCCGAAATGCATATCTTTTCCTATCAATAAACCGACCTTTATCAACTAAAAGTGTTCCAGTGTGATTTGTTCTCAATGGCAACCTTATGCTAAGAAAAGACATAAAAATATCCTCTTTTAAAATGTTTAATTTTATACAAGATATAATTTTAAATTAAATGTTCTTCTTTGTCATAAATCTAACAGATAAAACGAATAATTTTATAAATTCGTGAACTAAGTTTTATATTAAGCAGTAAAATTAATTTAATGAAACTTTTTTAAAAATAAAATAAGAATTTTTTTTAAACATACAAAATTATAACAACGATAGTTTAGAATTTTTTAAATTTCAATTTACTAATGCATATCACAAACTGTAAAAACACCTCTCTTAGTAATTTGTATAATGATATTGGCAACTGTAATGTAATGGATCATATACACCATTTAATATTAATTATACGACAAAATGAATTATTAAAAATAAATTAAATATTGAATAATTATAAATAATACATATAACAGCAGAAAATTATCTAAAAGCAATATTTAATCTCTTATTATAATTGTTGTAATTGATTTAATAATTAATATAAAAATCAATTTTTATCATTTCATTTAGGTGTCTGTTGATTTTTACAGCAAAGTTAGAATCTATTTTAATATAATTAACATTTTAATTGACGTTAAATCATTAAGTCTGAAGGGAGATAAAATATTTGTCTTGGAGCAAATTTCGCTATTAATGAAGTAAAGAAAGTATTGTTGAAACAAACTTAATTGAAATTACTTTAGACAGATAATTTAATTTTTATAATACTTTTCAATTATATTTTCATGATTTGTGCGATGGCTGTAAATAAAATTACATTTTAAAAAAGTCATTTATGTTGTTTAATATTTTATGTTCATTTCTAATACGTTTCAAGTTAAGTTTTAGTAAAATTAAAATTTAGAGTAACTATTTAATTAATTAATGTTGGATTATAAAGTTTTACAAAGACGAGTGTCCTATTTTCGAATAATAAAAATTTACTTATATAAGTTTTAGAAAAAATTAGGGATTCGATGGAGTATGAGATATTTTTACTTTCTCCTATTCAATATCGATAAAGTTATAAAATAAAATATTGTTATCGTCTGAAAATAATAGCAAAAAGTTGCGCTCTTCATAAAACAAAGTACTGAGTTGATTTGCTTACTGAAATTCAAATAGAAACGCCTTCTCGAAATAACGCCCGCGGTTTAGAAAGGTAAAATGAAAAGCCCGAAGCTGATCCAGATGAAAATACCAATACGTTATTTTAATGAGATTTAGATTTTCATATATTCAGAAAATCTTCGATGTTCGGGATATCTGTAAGCCTATAGTTTTTTTTTTCAATATTATTCTTGATATTGTCATTGTCAGATTTCTAAGTACATCTGCCCTACGAATCTGGTAATGACGATTTCTATTTGAAGAGCTATTTAGCCTTGTTTTCAAGCTATATGGATGCAATTTCTATCTTAAATCAATATTTTAAAATCTTTTGCTAAGAATCATATTACATCTAAAAAGAAAAAATGAAGAATATCAATTCTGGAGTGATAAACTTCACATCATGAAAGTTTTCCGTCAGATTAAAAAAATTTAATGCATGATTTCTTAGATATGTTTGTATGCAAGCATATCTAACTAGAAGAAAATGTAAAAATTATCTAGAAATCTAAATAATAATTAATACATCATATAATTATTCTAAATTTTATTTATTTATAATTATATTCGCTTATGTTTATAAATNTTTTAACAAGGTATTTATATGATAAAAAAATAACAATAAATAAAATAAAAAATGAAGTGAAGCATACCTGGGATTTAGATCGGATCCTTGCTGCATCAGAGAACCAATAGTGAACCACAGGCTATTGAGCAAATTAAACTGATTCTCCAAAATTTCCGAATCAGGATCGCAAGGATGTGGACTGACCCATTCGTAAGGGCTAAATCTAGCTATAATAAACAGCAACAAGCTGACTCCTATGTAGGCTGTAGCCATATATATCCATATTTCTATAGATAAAGGCTGAAGAAAAGAAAAGAGTTTTGGAAATTTTTTCGTTGGTTTCCTAAACAAAATGCTAACACCCAAATTCATAAAAGGCATCGTAAAATCGACCACTTGTTCTCTTTCATACGTTATTGTAAGATCCCCGACGGCAAGATCGGCTTCCTGTCAAAAGGTAAGCTTATAATTAAATATATGTAATCAAGATTTCATGATTTTAATTATCTTGAAAAGTTCAAATGATGTTGCATTAGAATTTATTTCTATTTAACTAAATTTGATGTATAATTATACTTATTTGTACATAAAAGCTTTTGTATTCACGTATTGAATTTTAAAGTGTTTTGTTACAAGATATAATTAATTTTTAAATTTGAATTTGACGTCTTCTTTGTTTTAATTAATACTGTCATCAATTATAACAGTATCTCGGAAATTGTTAACACTGCGAAAACAATAATATTGATAACTCTATCGTATATGCATAAATAGAATACAAATAAAATTTTCAAAATTAATTATAAAATAATTTGTGTAAATTTACTCATTTTTGCTTAAAATTAAGTAATTAATATAATAACTTTAGCAAAAATTTTAATTCTAAAGGAATATGCAATATACTATTTATTATATTGAGCATTTTTAAGTATATATAATTATAGAATTTGTAATTCTTATAGAAACTTTGAATTGAATCATTTATAGAATCATCTCAAAATCCTTTTTTAAAGTAGTAGAGGTATAATGTCTAATTGAATTTACTTTATTAAGCTCCACTTTATCAACACAAATCTATAATAATAAAATGCTTAGTTAAAAGTTTATTCTATAGCTTATTCTATTTCTAGCTTTCATATCATATTAGCAAAAACACAATATATATGTCAAGTAGCTAACTCTACAAAATTATCGTTCATGTTATTTAAAATTTCTGTTGCAATAATCTTTTTCCTTCGTTTCCTAGAGTTATTTTAATTGAACTTTTCAACAGCTGAACGAATACTTGTTTAGTACAGTATCATGTATTTTTTTGCATTTTTATTTACATATTTCAATATATTTTAAAATAAATATGCTATATAATCGGATATATTTTCAAAAATTCATATCTTTTCTATATAATTTTCATCTGCATCGTTAATCTTAAGCGAATGAGAAACAATAGAACAATATCTTGCATTCTTTATAGATCGTTATAAAAGAGATATATAACTGCGAATATTATAAAGTTGCCGTTATATTCAAATTAGTGCTGAAGGTCATATTGATATTTAGGCTTTTTTACATGATTTTAATTTTATAACATGTAAAGTATTGAAGATGTAAGGAAATAATTTTGAAAAATAAAGCATTGTAGTATATATATAATGCAGCCTTAATAATGTAGATATTAGTGTAAAAAAATTATTAGAGAAAAGTTGAAAGTTGAAATTCTACGGAAATAAATTGTTGGGTTTTTTTTAATTTAAATTAATTTATAAGAGTACGTTTAATAAAATGAAGTGATTTCTCCATATTATCGTTAATGCAGTTTCGTAGGCTTAAATCGTTTTTATTTCTGAGCTATCAGACAACTGGATAATAAACAGGCATTTAGATAGACAAAGTTAATAGAAAATTTCAATTGTACTGTAACTCTTTTAGTTTTCGAACAACCTTGCTGACAGTCAACGAGCGAATGAACAAAGTACTAAACTTTTTTGTTTTTTTAATCGCTAAAATGAGTAAAGAGTAAGGGTTACAGAAAATTTATAGTAAAAACGAATCGTTAGGAAATGCGAAAATCGAAACCAAATTACGTAAATGATGATGTAATATTAGTTGCTTCGCCAATCACATTTAATTATCGCCTTCAATGACAATATTATTGGCACAATTTTCGTTTCACATTTCTCATTTGATATACATTTTCATTCAGTTTTTATACATATTAATAATTATTAGGATATTTTAAAGCTTTTACGTTTAAAAGAAAATAAATTGAACATAGGTAAGTAGAAAAGTTAAACTTAATATAGAAACTTTTTAAGATTAAGAACGTTTTAATAATATATTACGAAACTTCAGTTTTTAAGTTTTTAAAATACTGTAATTTCTTTGAAGAATATCTGTCTGAACCTATAGAAAAACCTCATTTTACCCCTGGCTTAAAGACGAAACCTTTTCACGTACATTATAGAAAACCGCATTTGCTATTGGCTTAAACAAGAAACTTTTTAGGTTTATAACTCATTCTTTTTCCGGTGGATTAAAGTTAATGCCAACGATTCTTTTCTAATGCATTTTCAACAAATTCTACATTATATCATTTGAAGACAGAAAATTAGATATAGAAGTAAGCTGTAACTTAAATTCTATCAAGAACCATCCGTTTGCAACCTAAACTGAGAATTGTGAATTTATCGAAAACATGTTTTCAATTTTCACTCAGTACCAGGTCTTATAATCCGCTCAATACAGATTTTTTTGTTAAGATCTAAATGCGAATTTCAAAAGCTTTCCTAAAATAACTAAAATCTATAATTTCTAACCTGAAAAAATGTTCTCTCTATTGTGTATGCATTTATCTTATGGCTTTTATTAGATCAGTAAATTTACGTATTTTATTATTTTTATGAATTGAATTCTTTTAAAAATTTAGAGAGACAAAAGAAAACTTTTACTTTCCTNATATTTTCTACTTTAAATAAAATTATTTTTTATTTATTCTCATTTGTTCTAAAGAAGTATTTTCTTGAATTCATTATGATGTTAAGCTAAATGGAGAAGCTAGCCATAAATACTTCATTGATTTCGTGTCTCTTAATACTTTTATTAGTTATTTATGTTATCGTATGTCTGCGGACTATTTGCTCATCATAACTAATATCCTACATGGCAGTACATAAGAGTTCTAGGATTGTTACAGACTACCATATACTGTACATTTATATTAAGAGTTTCTGCTTTATGGCAGATGTCTATAAAACTTATTATTGTAGCTTGAGTTCCTCCTACATCTTCTGCTAATACGTTCATTTGTTATATTGTTATTCAATGAAATAGTAATAAATCATAAATTCTATAACGCTTAAATCATTGACTTAAAATTTATTTCTAGTTCCTGTTCTGTATATTTAAAAGCGTTTGATATATAAGCATTTACTAGCAATTCGTTTTCATTATCTACAACTGTATAACTTTTCTACGTTAAGCTACTATGAATTATAAATATATAGTAATGTTTCGTCAACTGATATATTGATATTGAAATAAAGCTTTCACGTAATTATCAAGTAGCATATTCATATTTTATGTTTAATTAATTAGTTTATTATTATATTAAGTTGAATAATATCAATCGATTTGTTTTATATTTACACGCAATTTAAGTAATTTACGCTATTTTATTGTAATACAGATCACATATATAGTGCAGAAAAATAAAGTATAATAAATAAAACACATAAATAATTCGATAATATCAGTTGACTTCACGAACAAGTTTAATCGTAGTATTAATTAAATTATAATATATATTATTAACGGTCAGCTTTCTAATTTTAATTTATTTGCATGTTTTGAAATACATCTTATGACGACCCTGTCCTTTGTTTTTTTTTACTTTTATCTTCACGTTTAATTAATAATTAAGATTTTTCACTTGACGAATTTTATGATTTGAAAATATTTTGCAAGAATTCATCGCAAGGAAATTGTTTGAAATCTATCAATATATATTAATAGTGCTTCTCTTAATAAATAAAACGTATGGTCCCAATGCCGTATAGAAGAAAAATAATTGGCGTTTGTTTGTCTGTTTTCCGATTTTGCAATACGTTTTTAATCTTTTTAATCGGATATGTATCTATCTTACGGTTTAAGGAAATATTTTAAAATATTTGTGTAAACAACCAAGTAACCTAAAACGAAGGATTAGAGTAGTCATAAAATGTATTCTAAAACATGAAACTGAATTAAGAATGCGACTGTTTTCACGGACTTCGTCTTCGATACAATTAATATGAAAATTATCATTCTGCTGATTTTATAATATATATTATTCTTGACAATGGCTTTCAAAAGCATAGCCTACATTTTATATCATATCTTAAAGTTATATCATTTAAAAATTTTCGTAATTTGTTTTCATGCTTATCTCAAAAATTACCAATATTTTTCTTAATTCTTTCTATAACGATTTGAATTTTTATAATGACCGTTGTTGGATTTACTGACAACTATAACTATAATCATTATTAGCGCTATTATCATCAAAATTTTCATAATTTACATTAAATATCTACTAATAAATAGTTATAATTATTTATATCCAAAGCACGTTATTTTTCATATTATTTCCATTCTTATCTCTTCACTAGAAACCTTCTTGAAATAATAAATACTTAAACCGGAACAGTAAACACACAAATTATTGATTTGATAATAACTTATGCCGTTTCTATCGAGTTATTTTCAAATCCAATTTTGATGGAATTTGTTCCTCTTAACTGCACAAAATGATTATCTTTCCTAACAACTTCATTGTTATTTATTATTTTTCACTTAATTTCTAATCTTTTCTTTATTCTGTATCTATTGCAGCTGCGAAACGAATTTAAAATCTAGCTTAAAAATTTTTGAAAATTTTAAATGCTTATAATTTTTATTTAAATACTGTATTATTTTATTTTTATGCACTGTCAATTTTATATAACAACTACCAGATAAAGAAGGATCGATCAGTGCAGAAGACTGACATTTAATATAAAATTTAAAACTTCATTATTGTTATAGAGTAGCAATAATATATCATGCTCGAAAAAAATTATTTTTCTTTCTGACACTGATTTGTTTTCTGCACACAATTTATTCAGATTCATGCTTGTATTTGCTTATTTTCTCTCAACATTCTTTAAAAAATTTCTAAATTTCTCCTTTAATCTGATTTACATATATCCTTTCCTTTAATTTTAAAAATGAAAATATTAAATAAGTAAACTGTAAATATTTAAATATTAGGGGAGACCGGGGCAAGATCGGCATGTTAAGCTTTACTTAAATTTTGTGTAATAAATACTGCTGTAAACTGAAAAAAAAGCTTTGCATATTGTCTATTGGAATGTTACCTTACTATAGAACTGGTTAAAATCAGTTTGGAAATAAAAATAATTAAAAT